GCCGAAGGAGCCGCACCCCCAGCCGAAGGAGCCGCACCCCCAGCCGAAGGAGTCGCACCCCCAGCCGAAGGAGCCGCACCCCCAGCCGTCGGAGGAGATCAAGGTCTGTAGTAAGAAGACGAAGCTTCAGTATATCACCAGTCAGATTAAGGCGATCAAGAACACCCTTAAGAAGAAGGTTTAGTAGATCTCCCATTCGTCGTAAAAGATCAAGGTCTTCTGAAAGAGAACGTCTAACAGATTTGGGTGAGTCGTTTCTTCGAAAATTTTGTAATAGAAAATGACTTAACCTTAGTTTTTGTGATCTCAAATGGAATATTTTTGGGTTTAGTGGACGAGGTATGAATAGCCTATGTTTAGAAAACAGCGATAATTGCACGTAATTACAGTTAAAAAGACCTGCTTTGGAGCATATTAGATCCAAAGTGTTGCCATATTTGAGTGTTTTATTTTGCTTGAGCTGTCTTTAACCAAAAAGAAAGCACAAAAAGATGAGAAAGTCTTAAGTTAAAAACAAGATTAGTGTATGTTCAATTGTTCTGTAATCCTCCATACATCCTAACAATCAAGATTCTTAATAACTTAGCATGTCTTAAATTCTCTAACTTTTCTGGATTTCAAGTATATACAGAGATGAGTAGTTGATGCATATCTGTTGCATGTGGGGGGCAACAGTGTACAGTTCCCAGAGTGATTACAAGTTTGTGAAAAAGATGTGGATAAAATGTATGTGGTCTTTTTACCTAATGGGAAAGCTGCCAGAAGAGGGTAGATTGTGATGATTACTGTAGTACTGGTGTAGATGTAGCAATTAAAGAGCTCAGCGGTGAGGAATGTTAATTCTAATTTATAAGGACTTTTTAGAAGAGATGGCAGTTAAATTTGGGCTCAAAGAGTGATTTAGGGTGTTGTCAGAATAGGAGAGTATCTTTAAACTCATAATTTGGGAAATAAAGTTGGCTTTGGCAGGTTTGTCTGTTAGAATCTTGTGTGGCTGTACGACTGTCACAGTTTCATAAAAAGTTAGCTATTTTATGCGATATTTTAATGCAAACTCAATTCTGTAAGGGCCACCACTTGAAAAGTGAGCCAGAAAATGGTTTGATAACAGCTATAACTTAGGGCACAAAGTTGATGCCTTAAATGTTTTTAGAATATGAAATTTTGATAATACAAAATGTGTAGCCTTTAGGAAAACGGCTTCTTACTTTTTTCCTTTTACAGATAAGGCGCAGTTACTTGAAATAGCCAAAGCTAATGCAGCTGCCATGTGTGCTAAGGCTGGTGTTCCCTTACCGCCAAATCTAAAGCCTGCACCTCCACCTACAATAGAAGAGAAAGTTGCTAAAAAGTCAGGAGGAGCTACTATAGAAGAACTAACTGAGGTAAGCTGGACAGAATTTGTTTTCATTCTTAAGTGGATTATTCCAGGGATGTTGACTCTGGAGCGTGCCAAAACCCGAATTGTGGGCTGAACTGATAATGGCTGGCACCGAGTGGCCAAAACCCGAAATACAGATGTGGCAGCGGCAGAAGCTCTGTTTAGCAGGCCATTATCCGGGATGGCTAAGCTCCGCTAGCTAAAAGTTACTTCCCATTACTTTTGCTTTCCAGTTTTAGAAGCCAAACTGACTGAGGAGTGGGACCGTTCGTTTGAATGGAGGAGGTGTTGAGTGAGCAACACGCAGAAGCTCGCCTACAGTTTCGTTTCCATTCACGACGTGTTCACTGATCGCCACGAGTGTACTGCATATACGCAAAGACACAGACAATCTTCAGAAATGATCTTTTGCCACCGGAGCTTGGAAATTATTGACAATAGCTGGCCATTGCCTGAAAGGAACTTCTTTCGCATCAACATTTCGGGTTTTGGCTGTTTGGTACCAGCCATTGGCGATAATGGCCGGCCATTATCAGTTCTTCCTGCGTTTCGGGTTTTGGCAGTAACATATATTTTAAATACACTTTATTTTTGTTTTTAAAAATATTGGATCTTTTCAATGGAGGCTTTTTGGGGGAGGCTTTGTTTTATGTTGGGGGGGTGCTGAAATATTGCTGCTAGGATCCAGAAATACCACATTGTTTCATATATTGAAACTTGTTATTGGCTAGCCTTATGCCAGCCTGCCACTGTCAATATATTGTGTTTCTCTTGGTTACATGCTTGGTATATTCTGTGTTTTTGGCTAATTCAGCTTTTTATTCTATTGTAATATTTTCAATTGATAATAGATGTGATGAATTCTGCTTATATAGAGACAAGTCTACCCAGATTTACTCTCTGACCTTTTTCTAAAGTCAGGTAATAGAGTCTATTCCTTTGCTGCTCAGGAAGGAATTGACTTTGCTTTATGTGTCAGGCTGCATCAAATGCACCCTTTCCATCCTGCCTTATTTTCCATTTGTAAGCTCTATTCCTTAAAAGATTCAATCTACAAAACATGTATGGAGAGACATACTATCTAACCTTATCACAGATATTTCAGATTTTATTTTGCCATTCATTGGGGATTATAAATTTTAAAAATCTGTTTCTTTTTTTTTTTTGTACCAGGGATTGAACTCAGGTCCTTGTGCTTGCGAGGCAGGCAGCGTAACCATTGAGCTAAATCCCTGCCCCCAAAAATCTGTTTCTTTATTTAGATTTCTTAGAATAAGAATTACAATTTTAAAAAAGAAATAAGGACCTCACAAAATTTTCTGTTGGCTTACTTAACAAATTCAACTTCATTATTTAAAACCCTGTGAACACTTGATATTTGTTTTAGCCTCTTCAGTGCTCTAGTCCCTTCTAACAAGCTTTCTTTCACCTTTTTACCACTATCTGACTGGACAACTTTCTTTTCCTTTCCCTGCCAATTCTTGTTCTTCACTATGAAAGATATGGTTTAGAATTCTTCAAGGAATAGTCTTTGATTCTCAAGCCCTGCCTGACTCTTCTTTCATAAGCCTTTGTCCTTTCAGCACTTATATACCTAGTTTGTATTATATAAGTTTGCACTTGTTATTGTGTTGCTTTGTAAAAACGTTTGATTATTTTTTAATGTATATGTATTCTGTCTCGTATTAGATTGTAAGCTCCTTGGGAGCAGGGACCATGTCTTTTTTTTTTTTTTTTTTTTTTTTGTATTCCCCAGACAGTGCCCAGTACAGTGCTCTGCACATAGTAGGTGCTCAATAAATGTTGTTGACTGACTGACCAGTGTGTTTAAATAATAGCTAATAAGCTAACACTAATCTTGTTTACTTTTGAAAGGTGATTTTATGTACTCGCTAAAAATCCACATTATTCTATATAAACTATAAGATTTATCTTTTGTTTGTTTTTACTTTTAAAGAAATGCAAACAGATTGCACAGAGTAAAGAAGATGATGATGTAATAGTGAATAAACCTCATGTTTCGGATGAAGAGGAAGAAGAACCTCCTTTTTATCATCATCCCTTTAAACTCAGTGAACCCAAGCCCATTTTTTTCAATCTAAATGTGAGTATTAGTGCTTATGGATTGTGAAATAGCACAGCTCATGGAATGATTTAAATAAAGCCTAGTGGAATTTAATGGATTAGGTTTGGTTTAAATACTATGAGATAATAAAATGATGTCCTCTAAAATTAAACATATCCTTCATATTATATTCATATTATATATTGAAATTCTTCAGAAACCACTAAATTGGTATCTGTTAATATTGAGGGGGTTTTTTTTTTTTTGGTACTGGGGACCGAACTTGGGACCTTGCGCTTGCAAGGCAGGCGCCGGAACCACTGAGCTACGTCCCCGGCCCAATATTGAGTTTTAATTAGGAAACTTTTTTGTTGTTGTTGTTAGATTGCTGCAGCAAAGCCAACTCCACCAAAAAGCCAGGTAACATTGACAAAAGAATTTCCTGTGTCATCTGGATCTCAGCATCGAAAGAAAGAAGCTGACAGTGTTTATGGAGAGTGGGTTCCTGTAGAGAAAAATGGAGAAGAAAACAAAGATGATGATAATGTTTTCAGCAGCAATTTGCCCTCGGAGGTAAGAATAATAATTTGTATTTTTCCTTTTTTTAAATACCTGATTCTGCCATTTTATTGTTACTTTATATCTGATTTGGATTCTGTTTCACTCTTCTTAGGGCCGGGTTAAACGGCAGGGCCGGGTTAAACGACAGATGAAACATCCCGCAGCTTCTCATTTCACAGTAACTCGATGCAATTCACTTTGTGGGAATAAGCCACAAAGTGAAAAGCATCGAATTGCAGAGAAAAGTGTTATCACATCCCTACCCAACATTGGGCCCTCCATGCACTTGTGGGAAGGTAGCCCAAGGTACAACTATTTAGCTTCCCGTTTTGCTTCAAGGCTCTATAGCTCTAGATTTTGGTGGTAGCAAATTTTTTGGGTGGAGGGCTTGAGCGGAGAGGCAGATCTCAGGTTCAACACAAGAACTGGATTGGAAAAGGTCATTGTAGGTTGATGGAATATCTTGGGTACATAGCCCATTGCTCTTAATTGATGGTTTCTTATTATTTCTGGGTTGTTTGTCTGATAGCCTTTAATTTTAATTGTTTTACCTTCTGTGCTACCTTGGCCCTTTTGAATTCTTGTGTTTAACCTAATGTTCAGCCTTGGTATTCCATTCCCTTCTCCTTACCCTCTTTGCTACTATTAAAAATTGGAGAAGTGGAAATCATGCATTGAAATTTCCACAAGGCTATAGTTGTATCTTGTCAAAATGACGCAATTAACAATGCCAAGTGTCAAAACAACCCCATTAAAATGCCGCCTGATAATGTGCTGCTAAATATAGTGCACATGAAAAGAGCAAGACTGTATATATATGTAAATATATATATATATATCTGTATCTTTGTATGTATCTCTGTATCTGTACCTTTGCTGTATCTTTTAATAAACAGTTTACTTTTATTTAACTTGTTGTGCAAAGTCACGCTTGGGGGATTGGGAGGGTGGAGACTTAACTAGGGGAGGTGGGAGTTTTAAATTATACCATAGACTAGTTGTCATCACCTCTAGCCCTTGATTTCCAAAGCCTTAACATTTGTCCACAGATTGGACTAGGTATCTGATGCCCTTATAGGCTTCTTTTTCTTGCAGTTCTGGGATGTAGTAGGTCTGAGAGACCTATATTGTACTCTTCACTCAGGTTCCCTACATTTGGCCATGTCATCATCTTTTAAGTAAACACTTCCAGTTCTACAAATAAATCCTGGCTGTAAAATCAGAAAGTAAACAGAACCCAAATCAGAAACTTTTGATAGCAGTATTTTTTTTCCCCAACCTATTCACAGGTGACATTTTCACTGTGGGTTTTTGTTTTGTTTTTTTTTGACTGGTGGCATTTTGAAAAGGAAACACATTCTATACAGTGAAATTGGACATAATGAGCCAACACAGCTTACAGTTAATTATATTGGTGTGTATTCACATGGTATTCAACAATGGAAGCAAGTTATACCATCACCAGTGAGGGGAAGGATAGTTGGTTTGGACAATATTTTAGTGAAACCAACTAAGTAGCTCAGTTGGTTAATCCCCGAATCAGGCTAGTTGGACATCTCAAGATGGACATTTGCAGCTGACTTAATCTTCTTACAGTAGCTGAATATAAATAAACCATGATGAGGGTTGTACAGGCTTATTAAAAATCTTGATATGCTTTAAATTATTACTTTATTGCAGATTAAGTATTTAAACATAGCTAGAGAGGTTCTTTGAGAGAAAAATTTGCCAATGAGGTGAAGACCTAACGTTGCAGAATTTGAAGAGATTTTCCTGAGAAGAAAAATAACCGTAATTAATTTGACTTCCTGCAGTTAAACCTGTCAAAAGTGCTTACTAAATCCTGATTGTACTTATTTTTGGATGAAGAGAATGTGTTTATGTATTTCAAGTTTAGTTCTCAACTGTATTTAGTCTTAAAACTGACAGTGTGATGCCTTAACTTCATCTCAAATGTGGTTGTCAGATTTTAATGGAAAGTTGAAGAGAATTATTCTGTTGATACCAAAAAATCTTATTAAGATAGGTATTCCAAGGGCTTAATGAAAAGAAACAGAAGATGTCTCTTCCTGGAAGATAAATAATGTTTGATAATGGAACTAACTCTAAGCTATTAGAGGATTAGATTCAAAGAATATATTGGTTAACTTCAATTCTAAACAAAAGAATGCCAAAATTTTAGGGGAAAAAAGAGACAAGATTGTGGTTTGCTTTAAAATCTGCACTTTTGGGCGGGGGATTTAGCTCAGTGGTTCTGCTGCCTGCCTCGCAAGTGTAAGGACCAGAGTTCGATCCCGGGTACCCAAAAAAAAAAACAAAGAAAATCTGCACTTTTACTTAGCAATAATGTTAAACACCTAGAGGAAAATATTCATAATACAGAACGTTCAAATCGAATTATTTGCTACCATCTAAGTTTATTAAATTTGTAAAATTAATATTCTGTGTACCAGTGTTTGTGGAGTACTTTGATATTTCATGGGTGCATGGATCCTTTTGATTCCATTAGGGCTTGAAATAAAGGTTCTCTAGATGAAAAGGAAAGTTCTGTTTAAATGGTCAACTTTTTTTTTTTTTTTTTTGGTACTGAGGATCAAACTCGGATTCTTGTACTTGCGCACCAGGCGGTGAAACCACTGAGCTAAATCCCCGGCCCCGGTCAACTTTTTTTTAAGTGAATAGTTCTTTTTATTTTTTCAATCTATCAGTCTTTTTAAAAAATAAATAAAATTTGTGGTTCTTTAGTCTTGACCATAAAACATTTAGGTAAAGATTTCAGGTTTTATCTCAAGGGCTAAATCATCTTTGCTATAATTCCCAGTCCCGCCAGTTACGTCGGCACAGAGGGCTCTTTGACATGAGTGGGTAGACATTGTGGATGGATTAGCATAAATCCATACTTTATGGAAAAACAACTCAGAATATGTGCCCTTCTGCCATAGCCTTGTCTTCTTACCCAGAAATCAGCCAGGATCATCCTCAATAAAGTGTGATTACAGAAGTTGGATACTTGATTTATAAACACTGAAATAAAAGTTGGAAAGCTAATATTTAGAAAATAGTCATTGGGGTATTTTTTTTTTTTTTGGTACTGGGGATCAAACGTAGGACCTTAAGTGCCACTGAGCTAAGTCCCCGGCCCTGAGGTATTCTTGTAATAAGGCAACCAAAGGCTTATTGGTTAGAATATTTAAATGTACTCTTTGTCATAAGTATAAATGGAGGAGTAACTATCAGTGTGAGGTTTTTGTGGGTTTAGTAGCATAGATGTTTAGAGGCCCAGCTCAAGTGAATGCTTAGATGTTCAGGTCATCTTCATCTCATGCAGTGTGCTAGATTTGTATTATAAGTTTAGAAACTGAATTTACAAAGTTTAGGAAAGACAGCTTAATTGGAGTAACATGAACATTTTAATTGGAAATTAAATGCACTGCTAGGGTGTGTAATGTATACCTTTGTTCTCTACCTTACATTGTTCTAGGTGGTTAATACTAAATTTCTTAAAATCTTTTAAAATAGATAATCTGTTTTTCCCTTACATTTAGATTAGTCTGGGTAGGAATTACACTAGACAATTCTGAATGATACAATAAATTCATAATTCACATTTTAAAAAGGCAAGTATATAATTGGGACATTCTGTACTTAGTGGCTTTTCTTTTTGAAGCTTTTCTGTTATGTATGAACTTATATATTTCAATAATTTTTGCTAAATACTTCAAATGTTTTACAGGCCAAATGCTTTTTCTTTAACTTTTTTACTGAAAATTTCCTTTCATACCTTCTTTTAATTTGACATGTCTGCAATTACCTCTGTAAGTTTTCTTTTAATTACCTTTCCTACCCCACCTAAACACTGACATCCTTACAAAAGTCTTAAGGTACTTGTTCCATTTATATAAACAGGTTAACAAAATGGGAGTAAGTTGATTTAGAAGGATTTTTAAAATGAGAAATATAAAAGGTAAACATATAATATAGGTCATGAAATGCATGTTAACATGGTGCCAGCTGCATTGTGTATTTTCTTACACCTAAGAGCCTTACAGGTTTTAGAAGTAATAGCGATCAGCATTGTTGCCAAAGTAGAGATGAAATAACTTGGGTAGTTTTTACTATTGGAAACATGTAAGGCTTGTTGATTAAACAAATTTAAGAATCTCTTCGTTTTTTGACTTGTAGAAGGCCCTTTAACATCATTTTGATACCTTTCTCACATTACCTGCTTTTGAGCAGTATTAAAGGATGGTCAAGATTCTAAATCATCATTTTCCAATGTAGTCCTACCAGCCACTGAAAAATTAGTACCTAGCCACATTTCAAATGCTCACAAGCTATCACAGTAGAAAGTTCTGTTGCGAGTACTGTTTTAGATGGAACCTGTGGTATTTAATGCTGATACTTTAACATCTGTTGTGACCTTTGAATATTAGTGCTTTGGGGATTATAGCTTTTGAATGCATTATCGTCTAACATGAATTACCTTGAAAAGCTGGAAAACAAGCTTTTGAAATGTAAACTCTTGAACTTTAAGAAGTTAAGGTAATCTTGTTATATTCCATCTTGACTATACTTTTTTCACATTTAAAAATGACTATGAAATTAAGTCATTATTTGGAAATAAATTTTTGATATAACTTGCAGCTTATTTGGTAAATCTGAATAAGTTGTATTCTCAGGAAAAAATAGTCATTTTATCAAAAGTAAATTCAGAGTTAGAAGTAAATTTAATATATAAGTAAGATATGAACGAAGCTTCATTCTGAGGGTAAATGTAGAAATATTTAGGTTACCTCTTCATAAAAGCTAAAAAAATAGGAAGTTTGAAGATCTTATATGTCTCTAGAAGGATGAGTTCACAGGTATATTTTAGAAAAGTTTCCAGAGCCATCAAAGTGCATTTTTATGGCTAATATTTTTTCCTCCTTAAATTCTTTTATTGGTACATTTTAGGTATACAGTACCTTTACATTTATCATTGGGAACTTCTTGTACCTTTACATGATGTATCTTGGTTCTTATTTTTTCCCTCTTCCCCTGCTCTCCCTTCAACTCCTTTATATGGCTAATTTGTAGTTGGAGATTCGGGGTCAGGGGTTGGGATTGTGCGTAGACATGTTTTCTCTTGTATTTTTACAGTTTAGCCTTTCCAGAACAGCCGCCTAAGCATCCCGGCACTTATATTTATAGATTGGTTAATTAAGTCTGGGAAGACAGTTTCTCAGTTTATGGGCCTTCAAAAATTACCTTGATAATCTCACTTGACAGTTTCAGGAAACATCTAAGGTTAGGCCTACATGACATCAATTTTGGCCTGAAATACCTGCATTCCCATTTTAAGTCCCAGGACTCTCACAGAAGAGATTTGAGTCGTGGTAATAAAATCACTTAAAGTAGAAGTGAAGGTGTTCATTGTTTTAGTCTGACTTTGCTTAAATTAAATCTGTCTTGTCCTTATAATACTCTTACAGTACTCTTAATTTGTGTGGATAATTTAGTAAGTTGACTAAGCAAGATCTTTTCAAGAGAGTTAAAGAAGACATAAAAATTTGCAATTTTTGGAAGAAAAAACTTCAAAGGAATCAGGTGATTACTAAACATAACAGTGAATAAAAGATTCTAAAGGCAGGAAGAGGAAAATTCACAAATCCTTACTATGCCTAATACATATTTATTCTCAGTCATGTAGCCTTCTCTACGGTATAGATCATATTTTTAAAAGAATGGTTTTGTACACAATAGTCTAATTGCAGCTAGCCTCTTATTTTTTAAAACAAGCAACTATTTGAGTTCTTTAGATATATTTGTCTTTTCCATGAAATACCTAACTATTTGGTGTGAAAACAGCAAATCCTTCCTGTGTTGGATTAAGCATTTCACAAAAGTGAATTTTCTTGTGTGAAAGAGTTAGCAAATATTAATGGGTCAGGGCCTGGGATTTAGCTCTGGTTTCGCTGCCTACTGCGCAAGCGCAAGGACCCGAGTTTATTCCCCGGTACCAAAAAAAAAAAAAAAAAATTAATGGGTTAAATGTTACCCCCCAAAAATCAAGAATTGATAAAAAAAAAAAAGTGTGCTCCTAATTTAGACAAAAATCCCAAAACTTTGTAGGTTTTTCCTTCTATGCTTAAGCCTTTCACAGATCGGACAAATTCAGAATTTAAGAATTAACATTTTTAAAAAAGTTGAAATGACCTTTTCCTAGGAAAGTTTTATTTTCTCCCCTTCCAGTGGCAGGGATTGAACATGGACCCTTGAGCATGCTAGGCTGTTGCTCTACCACTGAGCAATATCCCTAACCCTAGCGTAAGGTTTTAAAGAGTAGTCTGTTAACTTTGAGAAGAACCTAAGATTTTAAAAGCTCTCATTTAAGCCTGCATTAGAAGATGTTATGGACATCCACACAATAATTTTAACAATAAATGTATATAAATTGAAAAGATTTACTTACATGCTTTATATATTGTTTGAAGAAATTAGGTTCTTAAGACCAGACTATATCCATGCTCAACTTTGAGACGGTCAAAGATGTGCTGTTGAGTGAAAAGTGATCTTGACACCATAATGCTTCTCTACTTGCTTATTCAGTAACTTTGCTTATTGTTTTTGGAGGGTAAAGTAATAAGTAGGTTAACATGAAAACTAAAAGGTATATAATTTACAATAGTTCAAAAGATTCTCCCTTTATAGTAAATGACTCATTAGTGAAGGCTAGAAATTTTAAAATTCTTAGTGAAACTTTATATGATTGTGATTGGGTATTGTAGAAAATTCACTGAAATCAGATTTTGGATTACATTATACTTTGTAACTAACTTACCTTAATCCTCCACTTTCCAAAGTTACTTTTTTGAATTTTCTCATTTTATAAGGTTATTAATATGTAAGAGTTTTGTTTCTTACATGTAGCAACACAAAGATAGGCACACTTGTCAGAACTTAGGGGGATGTGGTAATTTAAGATAATTATCTATGTTTTCTTTTTAGCCTGTGGACATCTCCACTGCAATGAGTGAACGTGCACTTGCTCAGAAAAGACTCAGTGAGAATGCATTTGATCTTGAAGCCATGAGCATGTTAAATCGCGCTCAAGAACGGGTATGTGGCCCTTTTAATGTATAAATAAGAATTTCACTCCATAGATGGTTGAGATATGAGAACATCCTAAATTGTGATAGCATTTATGTTAATCACCTGGCTTATTTTAAGTGACAGTGACTTAGGGCTTGATTGTTCAATTAATGTTTATTATGTACTATATTGAAAGAATAAAGGAAAAATTCTCTGCCCTCTTAAGAATATATAATCTGGGCTGGGGATTTAGCTCAGTGGTTCTGCCGGCTGCCTCACAAGCGCAAGGACCCAAGTTTGATCCCCGGTACCAAAAAGAAAAAAAAGAATATATAATCTAGTGTATAAAAATAGCTAAGTGCCCACATGAGCCATATGAGGTTTGTAGGTGTTAACTATTAGGTTCCTGTGTTTCAGTTGAGGAAACCAAGATTAACTTTAGTTAAGTGATAGCCAGCCAAAATCACACAACTGGAAAGTTGGGGAAACTGGGATTCAAATCCAGAGATTCTCAATGCAGAATTATGTTTTTTGGTACCAGGGATCGAACTTGGGACCTTACGCTTGCGAGGCAGGCGACAGAACCACTGAGCTAAATCCCTGGCCTGGAATTATGCTTTTAATAATGGACATTTTCTCCATTTCTCTTTTATCTTTGTACATCAAAACAAGTATATGTTCAGACAGGAAATAACACTTGATTACACTAGGAATTCAATAAATACAATTTGAATGATTGAGAGCAGATTGCCACAATAAATGTTGGTGATGTGGACCCCAGGTTTCTTAAAAGGTTGTTTTGAGTGGACCGTTTATTTAATAATCTGTTTACTGTAAATTACAAATCTAGGCTGTGATAGCATTTTTACAATGCATTATTATGAGAGATAAAAAAGGAATGTTTTCCCCACTTACCTGTTTTTCATGTATCTCTGTGATATTTTACAGATAACCCCTCATCTCTTGATAAGGAGACCCACTGAAAGTTAAAGACTTTGGGAAGTTCAGGCAAATGATTTAGTTTTAACCCTTCAATGTTTAGTGATCCATTTTTGGAACGCCCATAACAGTGGAACATAATGTTTCAAAGTTTAATATTTAAGTCTATTATTCAGTATTTGCAGGAATGAAACCAATTTTTTTATTAAATTATTTTATATATTTTTACCAATGACATTTTAATCAGATCTAAGTTTTCCTTAGCTAAGGCTGCTTCTTTGTTTTCCAGATTGATGCCTGGGCTCAGCTGAACTCTATTCCTGGCCAGTTCACAGGAAGTACAGGAGTACAAGTTCTGACACAAGAACAGCTGGCCAATACTGGCGCTCAAGCCTGGATTAAAAAGGTACACAGTATGTGCACATACGAAAGTATCAAAGCACAGTGTTACATTTTTTTTGGTGGGAAAATGTTTCATTATAAAATGCATGAAGAGGCTGGTGACGCTAATCAAAAATTCCTGAATAAATCTGCTGTGTGTATATGCTCCAGGATGGACACTGAAGATGGACTGGAATGAGACAATGGCAAATGTATAAATATGGCTCAAGAGCCACTCAGTTTATATTCTAAGGTTATTTTTATTTATTCTTTGCTCCTGCTACTTGTTTTGTTGGGGGTGGTTTTATTTAACTGTGTTTTGAATGCTGTATCAGGTGCTGTTCAGAATATTCCACAGTTCCTGTTGGACTACTAACCTAATCATTTCAAAGCAGTGGTTCTCAAATTTTCTTCATCATGGGATACTTTATTACAGGTTTATTTTTGGTGGATCACTATCCCCACAAGCCCTTTATCTCCCTAATGTTCTATTCCTCTCTCCCTCTGTCCTTGTCCTCTCAGTAGTGCCTGCACCCTCTTCTAAGATCCCTTGGCTCCTCCTCCTCATGCCTCTTGTGACTTCCAGCCCCAGGTTCCTATATGGTGGTCTGCTGTTGATTACAGCAAGTGGTTGGGAGGCCCTAGTATTAGCACTGCATGTGTTGAACTTGCCATGGGACTGGAAGGCTGGGGGAGGATGGTTGGAATGTGGGGAGGGCAGTGCTGAAGGGTGGTAAAGGGGCTGGGGAGGGGATGGAAGTTACTATCTGTGGACCACCACGTAGGCCCTGGTGGCCTTTGGTGATCCACAGGCTCAATTTGAGAACCACTGATTTCATGAAAAAACAGGATATATAAATCAAGGGAGAGGATGGACACTTCGTGCTATGAAGATGTAGGTGCACCTGGTCTGACTCCTGCAGTGAGATGTGTGAACTCCACCTACGGCTGCCTCACTGTTGGGGGAGCCTTAGGTGGTGAAGAAGGGCTTGCTGAAGAAAAGCATTCTGGTGAAGGGATGTGGGTCGGTTGGATGGGTGATGGGGAATTTGTTTCAGGAGTACTGGCAGCATAGCAGTGCTGAAACTGGGAGGCTGCGTGGTCTAATGGATTGGGAAGGTTTCTTTATCCCGCTGTATTCCTGACTCCTTGTGTGATCATGGGCAAGTAATTCTTTGGAATTTCAAAGATTCCCAAGTGTCAAGTAGAGACAGGTCCTTATTGCCTTACAGAGTGGTAATCAATAATGTGATAGGTGTCCTTTAGAGAATTGGAATCAGTTCCATTCATGGATGAGTTTCTGTAAAATGATACTGGTTGCTTCAGACATAATATAATAACATTTCAGTTTTGATAGTATTATCTCTGTAGACCCTCTTATTAACAAATTAAGACACATTCTTATTTTGCCTGTGTCTTGAAGAGTTACATACTAATGCGTATACAATGAGTACATGGTTAGATTCATGAAAAAATTAAAACTGAGTTTACTGGGGGTGGTGCTGGTATTAATCTAGCAAAGTATTTTAAGAGTTTGGATTAACTTTAAATTTTATACTAATATATTACTGTTAAAATGAAAGTGATTTGTGTAGTACTTTGAAAAATGGTTTTCATCTTAGTGGGAACAATTATAAATGAACCTCTTTTTCTTTTTTTTTTCCCTTGGTGGAGCTGGAGACCAGACCAGGGCTATGTACATGCTAAGCATGGGCTCTACGACTGAGCTATCCCCCAAGCCCTGATTCTGTAACACTACTTTTGAATCTGAGTGCTCGGTATTTCAGGAAGTTAGATAGGAAGCTTACAATGTTTAACAAAGCCATAATAAACAGTCCATATATTTTGCTTCCATTGCAAAATTTAGGTCTTACCTGTAATGATGTGCTGCTCCAAAGAGTTTACTGTCTAACTATCCTCCTGTTGACATAACTTTTACAAAGTGAATCTTTTTCACTGATTGAATTTCTCCACAGCTGTTACCAGTCTTGGAGACAGGTTACAGATTTTCAAATAAAATGTTTAGTGAACCCTTTAAAGGTTTTATTCTTATGGTTTATATAAAACATATCTTAGGAAGCAAATCATTTGAATGAATTTCATGAGGTAATGATGTGTTCATCAGATCAAGCTTTATACATGAAAGCAACCCTTTCAGGAAAAAAACAGTTGTACAGAATTATTGAAGAATGTTTGCTTAATATTAAGGAAAGAACATTTTATAAAAATGGGCCAGAACATTTAGAAGTCGTTGGGCAATTGAAAATCATTGAAAATGTAATATTTTTAACACAGATACTGTCTAACCGTTAAATATATTTTAGATACTTGCTCAAGTAGCTCATTCATTTCTTCTTGCTTTAATGTAGCCTTGCACTCTATTTAAAAAAAATAGGGAATTCCAACATTACACATGTTCCTTTTTAGTTTGTTCCAGTATATTTTTAGATTGTTTGGCCCATATTCTGATTCATAAGTAAAATATTTTAAATTGTTATTAATTTAAAGGACTTTGTTTCCTAGAATGAAATTATTTGGACATAACTTGATAAATACGGTGTTTTATTGTGGTCTGATTAGAATAACCAGCTTTTTTGTTGCATACACGATGGGTAAAGTAAACAGGTGAAGATATTAGAGAACAGAAACAATTGAAAACATGGGTTATTTGGGGATTTATATTGTACTCTGTCTGCACAGTTGCCCTTTTTTTTAGGATTGTTTCCTGGAAAAGAGGGGCAGATGAACCTGGAAGTAAGTAAAAGACATTCTAGGTGTGTAGCATCAAGGCAGTTGATATCGAAGCATCAGCTAACTTTTCTCTTTATACATCTACACTGCATGGCCTGCACCAAATAAGGAACTGAACCAGGGGTATGTTTTTTACCTCCACAGCTGCCTCCTTCCATCAGAGCACCTTGTTGAACTTAATGTCAAGTCACAAATCATTGGCATGTTTTCTCCCCAGCATTTAATTATAAAGCTGGGACACAAAGACTACAAAGTTTTACTACTGTGTAAAACATGGTTTTTTAAACACTTATTGTTAACTTATCAATGAAGGAAATGATAATGCATACTATTTACTGCAAGAAGTTTTGATTACCTCTGTTGATAAGTTAATCATTTTTGCTATATATCTGCTAGAGAACATTACTCTAAAATTTAGTAGCAAGGTGAAATGAAACATGGTTTGGGGATGTGTTTCAGTTTTTAAAAAAATGTCCTTACAGAGCAACAGTAGATGAAATTCAGCAGTGTTACGTGTATGAGGATGCCCATTAAAAGGAGGCATTGGAATATTCTTCTAATGTTAATATAATGGACTGTTGACCATGCTAATGTATATAGTTGTGCACCTTACGACATTAAGTGGTTTGCTGCTTTGATGGAAATTATGGTTCAGTGGGTTGGATACAAGAGAGATGATTGTTCGCAGAATAACCTGTGAACTTTCACCCCTCTGTATGGAAACTTGTTTCAGGGCCAAATCCTTGTAGCTGTCTTCTTGCCCCGGTCAGTGCCAGCCGTACTAGTCACAACACTGCTGCTACCGAGGCCTAGGTATGTAAACATTTAAGGAGTTTTTTAAAAGTCTTTTAACATCAAGCTAGGTTTTAAAAGAGTTCCAGTTCATTGTGGTATACTTACAGGGTGTTTTGTGTGATTATCTTCAATTTATGACAGTGTAATTTTAAAGAGTTTGTTTTGTAGGGATTTTCTAAGTAAAAATATTTATATTTGCCTTATAGTAATGGGGAAGAAAACTTTGGATGGCAACAATATGCTTCTTCGGTGTCCAAACTATTTCTAAATGATTTCTGGGCTTTATTCATAAACTAGGTACACCTGGGACAATTAATATTATTGACTGTTTTAACATTGCCTTCTTTTTATTTTGCAAGCTAAGAAGAGATACCAGTGAACCTAAATAGTGGACGAAAACAGGAGTGTTCTATTTTTTTTTTTGGAGGGGGAATGAGGGACTACTGTTTAAAAATTGACATTTGACTTTTAAAATACTGTTAATGTGAAAATAAACTATAATACAGTATCTATTAAGTACATAGAGACATTGAAATTTAATTGTTGTAACAGATCTAGAAGTAAAATAAGATTTCTCTTTTTACCAATGAGTCTGTAGTCAAGTTCTAACTGTAAAATGGGGACATTTTACCTTTCTTTCTTTGGATAGGATCAGTTCTTAAGAGCAGCCCCAGTTACTGGAGGAATGGGAGCCGTTTTGATGAGAAAAATGGGCTGGAGAGAAGGAGAAGGATTAGGAAAAAATAAAGAAGGAAATAAAGAACCTATCCTAGTTGATTTTAAGACAGACCGAAAAGGTAACAAGTTTGTTTTTGAAATGTTTATTATCTCTTTCAACATTTAGGATTTTACCTGCCTTTTATACATTATTTTGGACCTGGTGATCCTGAACTATAGGCATTTCTTGTATATTGCACACTGTCAGGAGACACTTTTAACTCACTTTCATACATAGGAGCTTATTTTTTTTTACGGTTGGAGACACTAGAACTTTCAAAGGCATCTTTCATCATGTGACTTGCTAAATATGAAAATTTGTACATATTTTTGACTACAAATTAATTTCATTTGGGATTTCCATTTTGTTCTCTCTTGACAGGGGACCATATGGTGGTTTTATTTCTAGGATTTGATTTTTTCTTTCTCTACAGTTTAGGTATTTTCCTTATTTCCTGTTAGTGGGCTGATTTGTCTTCACTTTATAAGCACTCTTTGCTCATCCTTTTCACACCAGTAGTTAAAGACTATTAGACCAGCTGCTGTTACCTCTTTATGTTACCTCGTGTTGGGGCACCTTGGAATTTTATCACTATGCTGTTCTCTTCAGATACTGGGGGTTGGAGAGAAGACCTCTATAGCCTCCATGTAGCTGCTGAGTATTAAATACATACTTCGTACCCCAAGTAATTTATTCTCATAGAAGAATTGGAATCACAAGTGGCTGCTTGCTCCATTTACTGGATTGTGTAGGCCCAGTTTTTAAAAATAGGAAATCATTCTCCTTTAGAATCAAACAGTAAGGTGGGTTCAGGAAAGTGAATCATTACAGTGAATTTGGGAACAGACTAGGTGTAGACCAAGTGTGTGTTATGTAATTCCAGGGAGTATTTTCCTTGGAGTTATGCAACATGACTTGGGTGTAATTTCTGAGAACAGCACACGGCCCAAGATAGGATTAGGGAAGGTTAATATACTAGCATGTAAGCAGGGAAGGACTAGCTGAAAAGCTTCCTGTATTTTTGAGGTTAATATTGTTAATCCTTTTTGGAACAGATTTATGGAAGGTGAGGTTATACAGAATTTGTATTCATCTCTTGAGAACATCTCATTTGTTAAGAAAGGGAGAGTTTGCTGGGACAAAGGGGATGCATTTATCCGTGGAGACTCTGGCCTTTTCACCTTCTGGTGGCTCAAAATCCTAACCACCTTAACTAAGAATCACTGTTTTAAAAGATAGAATAAAATCATTTGCAATCACTAGGCACTACTTCTTAAATTTATATAAAGAAATAAACCTGGAGATGTTTATATGACACTTAATTTGTATATCTATTCATATATTAAATTCTTATACTTGTAGATACATTTTAATACCAAGATACATTGAAATGCTAAATGAGAATATTGACAAATCCACTATTGTATCAACCTTTGAACATTGAAGGCATGGATTAAAGTTCAGGCTTCTACAGTGGGCATTTTTGTTTTTCTGCATTTAAAGTGATGCCTGTGATACTGATTTAGTGAACATTTGGCTTTTTTTTTAGGTCTTGTTGCTGTAGGAGAAAGAGCACAAAAGAGGTCTGGGAATTTCTCTGCTGCAATGAAAGATCTATCAGGTGAGAGAACATTTTTGAATTCCCACTTGTCCCATCAATACCCTGAATTCATTTTTGTGCGAGAGTTGGTGAAAATAATTTATAACTGTTTTTTTCCTCTGCAGGCAAACATCCTGTGTCTGCCTTGATGGAAATCTGTAATAAGAGAAGGTGGCAACCACCTGAATTTCTCTTGGTCCATGATAGTGGCCCTGATCATCGCAAACATTTTCTCTTTAGGGTAAATATAAATTTCTGCACTAGTAGTATATATTCAATTTGATGACTTAATGTTAGAGGGTGAAGGGGACAAACATATAATCACAGTATTGTGTGGATTGTGGGTACATGTATGTGTGGCTAGAGTTGGTGGGGTTTTTAAACACTGAGGCATGTTTTAATAGGATTTGTGAATATACAATTTATAAAAATCAGAGGGAAAGATGTGGCCAAAATCTGGCAAAGAAATTGTTGATGCCTCTAGTGGAATGTGGGGAATTAATCTAAAACTTTAATCAAGCTTTCTTTTAATTTTAAATTTATAAAACTGCTTTTAATTTGCAGTCCATTTTTCCAAATCATTTGCTTCTTTTGGGCTGTTATTAATTGAAACTGCATAGTATGGGTTAAATATTTTAAAAATTATTTTTCTAGCATTTAGTGAAAAAATACAAAGCTAATAGATATTAAAGTTTGATGCTGTTCTTATTGTATGTTTTTCTTGAATAGGTATTGAGAAATGGAAGCCCTTACCAGCCCAATTGTATGTTTTTCTTGAATAGGTATTGATAAATGGAAGCGCTTACCAGCCCAGCTTTGCCAGCCCTAATAAGAAGCATGCTAAAGCCACAGCAGCTACTGTGGTTCTTCAAGCAATGGGCCTTGTACCAAAGGACCTCATGGCTAATGCCACTTGCTTCAGGAGTGCCTCACGTAGATAGATTGAGGTTTTATATTAATCATTTCAGATAATTTTACTCTGCATCACAATGTATTTCCTCTTTAATGTTGTAAATATTTGGCAATTTAAGACATTGTGTAAAAAGCAATTCTGTACAAACATCTCCAGGCTTTGATTTTTGTACCATGGAAATTGTATTTAACCATACAGGGTTTTGGTATGTTTATATTGTTTACCTTAGTGATGTATTTGTTTAAGTGGCTAACATCCAAACAATTGTTTGAAGGCATCAGTAATCTTCAGTGTGGAATGTTAAATAACGCTTTTATACTGTATTTTGTACTATGATGTAACTCCCCTTCCTTATGGCTAGGCTGCTGTAACACTTGCCTGTAATCAGTGAAGGGCTGTGCACCTTGTACTATTTCAAAATGGGTTCTGCTGGACAGATACTGGGCCAGTGTTGAGGTAATCAAGCAAGATCTGTTCCACAGGGCTAATGCCACCATCCTCCCTTAAAATTTTGTAGAGGTTATAAAAAGAAAGTGATATGTTGTGTGATGATCAGCACTAAGTCCTGCATTCCCATTAAAGCCACTTGGGTCATAAGAAGGGAGTCAAAATGAAGTCTGACTAGAAATCTACTGCAGAGGCCAAGTACATTTAGTATGGCTTGAGTTGTGATATAGTTTTACTTTGATGTGCATTTTGAATTTCAGCTACACCTAGGTAGACGTAAAATAATTAAAAAATGCTGTAACCAACTTATCTAATAAAATTGGCAACCAGCCACTATTTTGTTGACTATGAGAAAGTTTATGTTAATTTTTAGGGTCTGATAGAATATTTCATGTGTATTACAGTGGTATTCATATGCTATGTCTCTAAACTTTATTTTCAAAAGCTTAAGGCCCAAATACAAACTTCTCTGGAGTAAATGTGGTGTTTTTTATTTTCTGGATCATAGAGTGAACATATACATCTTCACTAAGTACTATTACCTAAGCATATTTATTTAAATGGGATTTCAAACACAGACACATCTGCACATGCATACACACACCTATAAATGCATTAAATACTACTTTGCCAATGATAGCTGAGCATCCAACTCTTAATGCTATTCTATACAAAGTACAGAATATCCTGTGTTAATTAGCATGTATTAAAAAATTATTTGAGAATAGAGGAATTTATAAATCAGTAAAGGTGGTTTGGTAGAATCAGCAGTCAGCTCAGATACTGTTTCCACCCTTTCCTACTTTTGTAAAACAACCTCAGATAAGCTGTAATATTTTTAGGCAAAATTTCATGAAATAATTGGTACAGATTTAGTCTCTTATATGTAAGGAAACACTGATTTTAATTTAGTTTTCTACTCCATTTACAAATAGCTTATAGACGTAGAATCCTCATTCAAGTTACGTGGGGTTTGAGAAAAAGTTTTCATCTTCATACCTGAAAATCTATGAAACAGTAAAACCAAAATGTTGATTTAAAATCTTTACACTATCGCTAAGTGCATGTAATAAAATATAAAAAGGGAGTGTTTATAAACATTTCAATATTTTAAAATATATTCCTTTAACTTCCAAAATGAACTTTAAAGACAAAAGTATAAGACTCTTGAATTTCCTTGCTAGGAGGTTTTTTTCCTCAAAGATTCCTTTTAGGCTTACTTTGATGTTCAGGATCTCCAATTACAAAGGTAGTCATTCATTTCCACATGCCGTAAAGATGATTTCCCCAGTAATGGTATTTGACTAAGTTGCTCCAAAGTCTTAGGGTGCAACCCACAGTTAGCGAGTTCCTTATGAACAACTTCCTGTGGAAATATGTACATATTTAGTCTTTAAAAAAGAATATTAGCCTCTGAACACTCCATTTAAAATGATTATCATGAAGACTGACATAGCTCATTCCTGTAATTCACTATAGAAGCTGGTCCTAATTATTTGTGCATAGTGACCAAAGCCTAAAATATTTTTATAGCTGATAATGTGCCAGTTTTAAAGACCTATATAACTGTCTACACAAAAATCTAAATATCTTGAAAATTAGAGGTGAATATGATTAAATCCCATAGTGAAGTTTTCATTACAAAGGAACTGGATCTGAGAGGGCAATGAAAACAGTTACTTTTTTTAAGGTTAGGGAAATTTCTTAAGTCATTGCTTACTAGTACAGTAGCCTGAAGTCATAAGTTTACCTGAAAAACAACCTACTCATTTTAGTACGATGGATTTTATTCTTTAAACGTTTTATTACTCTGTTTCCTGTACATAATGATTACATTCATCATAGAGTTGCACATACATAACATTTCTTTTTAGCTCTCATTTGACACAAAATACTTCTGTAACTTGAAGCATAAATTCATCTCATGACTTCTTTCCTCCAGCTAGTGACAGGAAACTACCTACAACTAGAAGAATTCGTTGATAGGAATCTACTTACTTTATCCAGTACTTTACCCGGTGGCAGGCAGATATTAAATACAGCCGTTGGCTCATGTGGATAGAGTCCGACAGAGAATGACCCACTCTGTGAAGACTGGAGTAGCCTGGTTATAGAATGTAGAGCATGAGGCATGACTGGACCTGCAATCTCCAAACTGAATTGATCTTGGTATCCAGAAAGAGCTTGTGTCTTCACATTAACACTCCGCACCTTCATGAAAATTAAAAAAAAAATGGAATCACCGTATCTCAGGCCTTTGTCTCACAGCTAAAATGTGTTGTAAAGCCAGACAAGGGGGCACAGGCCCATAAGCTACCTGATGCATACCTATAATCTTAGCTCCTGAGACAGAAGGAATGCACGTTCAAGGTCAGGCTGGACAATTTAAGACTTCTAAAATAAAAAGAACTGGGTAAAGCCCTCCCTGGGTTCATTCCCTAGTACCATAAAAAAAAAAAAAAAAAAGTTCAATATTTTCAGTTGGGATTTCTTTTCTTTTTTGGTACCAGGGATTGAACGCGGGACCTGTGCTTTCCAGGCAGGCGGTGGCACCACTGAGCTAAATCCCCGGCCCCATCTGTTTGTTAACGGAACAAAAGTAACAAGTAGTTTCTACAATATCAACATAACGAGTAGTGTTTAGTAAATTCTAAGTATCTCCAGCATCTTCTCTGCATTGAGATTTTTCACTGGACGTACAGAGTACTATATTTTCATATAGCATCTTTTCTGATTTAATAATAAGCTGTTTGATAGGGGATATCGGGGAAACTAAATGGTATTAACATTTAGTATATATATGAATAATAATTGTTTCAACCATATATAGTTAGCCTTTTCACTTATCAATGATCCAGTTTTTGAAATCTATAATGTAACATCCTTGGCTACTTCTTTGAATTAATGACTAAAGGAAACATTTAACAAAGTTCCAAGAAAGGAAATTAACACCAAAATACTTTAGTTGCCAATTACACTGTTATCTAAGAAAAAAAAATTTCATATAATTAAGGTAAAACAAATTTCATAATATATTTTTATATAATTTAACCTAATTGTCATATCAAGGATTTTTTTAAACTGGGATGAAAGTAAAATGAAAAAGTATAAAATGCTGGGAGTTATTTTTCAAAAACAATCTGTTTGAAAACAGTACTTCTAGCCAGGCATGATGGCACATGGCCATAATCCCAGCTCTCAGGAGTCTGAGGCAGGTGGATCACCACCAAGTTTGAGGACAACCTGGACTACACAGTTCAAAGCCAGCCTGAACTACATGGAGAGACCCTGTCTCAGAAAAAAGTATCTATAAAGCTGTTTTAAGGATTGGTGAAGTATAGAATTTCTTTTAATTACCTTAAGCATTTGCATTGTGGCACCTCGGAATGCTATTGGTGATAAAAGGGTTGGTGGAAGTCCTGCCTGTGGACCTGAGGTAGCAACTAAACTCTTGCAGTTGATCAAAAAGTTGAGCAACGTAAAGGTGTTGGTTCCTTTCACCAAAACAACAGACTCAGGTCTGTGATCCATTTGTACTTCATGTTTCTCTTTACGTCTGAAGATGACGATCAAGGAAATTTTTGCAAATCCCACACCAAGAGGTGGTAATCTTGATTATGAATCACCCAGAACCCTTTTCCAAAATATTCCTAAGCATTAAGTTTGAATCAAAATGTTGACTTGAGTTAGAAACTGACAATAAAACCCAGTCAAAAACTTCTGCCCAAATGTTCAAATGTGAGGGGAAACAAGGAAGGGACAAGAAAAAAAAGAAAAAATGGAAAAGAGCTTTTGTAAATGAGGGGGAGAGAGGTTAAAGGGAGGGGAGGGAGCTGGGAAAAAAAGCAAGATATATCATGTACAGGTACAAATTCCCTATGATGAATGTGATCATTATATGTGTCTAAAATGTTCTCAAGGGCCAGAGATGTAGCTCAGTGGCACTGTGCCTGCATGGCAAGCACAAGGTTCTTAGTTTGATCCCGGGTGTGTGTCTCTGTGTGTGGGATGATTCCAATAAAAACAAAAAACAAACTTCTTCCCTCCCACAAACTTAACCAACATGGAGTATTTTTACTTAAAAATAGTTTAAGAGTTCATGGTTTATTACTATTTAGGGGTTGTTATTCAGTATCATAATGGACAATTAGTTTTAAGAGGAACTGAAGATAATTTAAAATTATAGTTATTAAAAACCAAATTAAAAATTAACTTAGTTCAATGAAAATTAATTCTTAATAGCAACTGAAAGGATACAGCTTGATAGATAGTATATCTGGCTTTTTAATTTTATCATGCACACCCATCTCTTCCAGCCAAGAAAAACTTTCCTCTTCATCTTCATCACTGATTGCTTGCTCCCTAGGAAATTGCTATAGTGAGAATTTCCACTTCACAAAGTTGGCACTTTTACAAATCTATGTCACTGAATCCATAAGTCACTGGATATAAAGGTTCTTTTAATCACATACTCCCCATGTCCCAGGCTTGTTCCATATGCTTTCTTCTTATGGGCATTTTCTTCTATTAAAGGCAGTGAAAATTCAATACCTACATAAGAATATAAAAACAGAACTCAGTGTACTTTAACAGTATTTAACAAGAGTGCAGTGGTGACAAACGTATGGCATACGTGCTGCAGCGGGCTGTTAACACTGAAAGCTCTAAAAGGTTCACCATCACTGGTATAGAGTATATAAAAATTGAAATATAAAATTTTATACTTCATCTATTAAGATAGTAGTCTTTAAGCTTTTCTTGAACGTATAACTAGCTCACAACAAACATTAACATGCACACATATCTCTTTGAAGCAAACGCTTCAGGAAATAGGGATACTGGTACACGGGATACTTTTTCATAAATTACATTGTATTCTAGTTTACTTTCTGAAAATGTGCTATTGGGTCCACTACACAGATTTCATGATCTACAAGTCAGCGGACCTATTCTGAAAATCATGTTATTCAGGAGGTAGGCAATTTGTTCTAGAAAAGACTTTCTAGACAGTATATTCAAATACTGACTTTGCAGTTTTACTTTAGAGATCAGGGTGGGGAACACCATTCATTTAAAGCTACAAGTAAGGGATAGTTTAACCAAATGCAGAAAAACATAGAAATGGAGATACTACACTTCTGGAAAAATACAGTTAAAAGACAATTCAAAGTTTAGTTTTTATGGCAGATGTCTCATATATAAATTGTAGTATTGGGCCGGGGATTTAGCTCAGTAGTTCTGCCGCCTGCCTCACAAGTGCAAGGTCCTGAGTACCAAAAATTAGCAGTAGTATCACTTTAAACCTTTTACCTTCATTTTTCATAGCTTCTCTTAAACCTCTAGTTGTGGGAGATATGAGAGCTGTGATGACATCACTTCCTGCTAATCCTGCTGCACGGAACAGGACAGTAAACTGATAGGTGCAAACGTAGAAATAGGGGCAAAGTTTTGACTTCAGCAGATTATACAAAGAAGTAAAGCTCATAGACCTATGAAGCAAAAGAATTTTCATTAGGTATTAAATATTTAGCTCAATGTTTAAAATTTAATCTGACACTAATTTAGTCTGACATTCAGTTTAAAACACAACATAAATGGCTGGGGATTTAGCTCAGTGGTGCCGCACCTGCCTTGCAAGTGCAAGGTCCTAAGTTCAATACCCAGTACAAAAAAAACCCCCACCAAAAAAACTCCCCCAAAACTCCACAACATAAATACTTTATATAGACACTGGTTTAAATTTTTTCAGTTATGCACAACTTGGCTGTAAAGGAGTGAAATTGTAATGTGGCCTCATCGATGACTTCTCAATACTTTTAACAGTGTTAACCATTTAAACACTAACCATTTTTTTTTACACAAAACTTGGTAACTGGTTGATGACTTTCTCTGAACAAGTTCTGATATAAATGGACGCAATCATTGAGAAGAACATTAAAGAATTATACCTGCCTATATGTTAATCTAACATATACATATTTTCCATAGTGTGAAAGTGATAAGAGCTTAAAAAACAAGTAGCTTAAATGTTAGTTATTTACATTTTCTGATAAAATTTGGGATAGAAAGATCCTTCTATTACTATACATTTCCATGTTACAAACACAATAAGAAGCCGGCCATGGTGGCTCATGCCTATAATTGCAGGAGGCCAAGGCAGGAGGATTGTTGTGAGTTCGAGGCCAGCCTGGGCTACATATCAAGACCTTGTCTCAAAAAACAAAGAAACCAGGGGCCTGGAATTTAGCTCAGTGGCGTGCCTGCCTTGAAAGCACAAGGGCTGGAGTTTGATCCCTGGTACCCAAAAAGAAAAACAAAAACACCCCAAAGAAACCAAAAACCGAAAACACAATAAGGAGAGAATACTGATAAAATAAAAATTTACCACTGGAGTGCACAAATCTTTATTAATTTTTTTGGGGGTGGTACCAGGGATGGACCTTTTTATTAATCTTACCAGTCACTCATTAAAACATGTTGCAAAGTTTCATCATTTGACCAAAGGCTTGTCTTTCCAGCCATTTTCCTATCAGCTCCAATACGTGGAAACAGTGAGAGCCAGGACAAGGCAGGGTGGAGCCAATAGACAAGGCTCTGCTGGAAGGCGCAACGGAGCTCAGTGGAGAGTTTGGGATCCTGCAATCCAGAGGGGACAGTGGGTGGTTTTGGATTCATGAAAAATACAGAATTTCATTAGAGACACAATATACCAAACATGGAGTCTAAGAACCTTTAACTTTTATGGAAATGCATTAATAACCATTAGCTGAGGCTTGTCTGGAATGGCCCTTCTAGCTAGAAATTAGTCTATTAACTACACTTGTTACTTTTAAAACAGTCACTTTATTTCAAAATTACCTGTATACTTTGAGGCAAAGTAACTTCTGTTGCCCTACAATGCTGGACAAGACCTTGAGCCTCTTCCTGTGCTTTCAAATGATCTGCCCAGGTAAAGGCTTGAGAAGAGGTAAAAAGGAGTCGAGTTTTAATACTCCAGTCTACAGGTAACTCGGTACTTTTTGGAAGCAGATTATCGGATTCGGAGAATGATACATGTGGAGTCTTTTAGAAAACAAAGAACACAAAAATTAATTTTAAAAAAATCCTTCAATCCAAAGATTTTATCAAAATACTCATGAGCAAAATTATGTACACAGTATAATAACATACAAAATATACTACAGCTCAGTGGTAGAGCACTTGCCAAACATGCAACAAGGCCCCAGATGCAATCGCTAGCACCACAAAAAGAAAACAAAACTATATGCTGAGAAAGTCTGGAAGTAGCCAAACATCATAACAGAGACCTCTGAGATGCAAATACCTGTTGGAGGTAGTGGTAGAAGTGTGGCATATTCCACTTTTTAGTTTTAATACTTCTTCATGATACTATAGATGTTGCCATTAAAGTAGAAATCCTAGCAGTATTAAAAAATTACCTTATTAGCCTCTGAAACACAGAGCTAAGCTGCTCCTCCTGTGAGCAATTTAGGTAGCTACCATCCATAAAGGGCTATATTCAAAACATGCTTCCTCACCTCAAAAATTTACCATGAATTGGAAACAAGGCTTTTGTACACGGGGAGGGGAGGGGGCTTGATGGGAGGGGGAAATGGGAGAAAAGGTGGAATGTATCATGTACAGGTGCAAGTTTCCTATGATGAATGTCATCATTATGTATGCCTAAAATGTACCAACAAGTGTTATGCTATTAAAAAAAAATTTATCCTGAACCTGTGTTGCTGTTCTTCAAGTCAATATTCTCCACAGTACCAGGGTTCTTTCAGAATTCTCCAACAGATCATACAAAAGCCATTAATTTATACAGAGGGAAGGCTGGATCTTGGGGAGCTCTTCTAGCCTGTTCCCTTTAGGACAAACTAAGCATTTACAAGCCATCACAACAGAAGAACTCAGTAATGGAAATAAGAGTGTATGTGTGTAGGGTCAGTGCTATGTTACAACCTGTGGTGGTAATCTGGGGATCTGGTTTAAAGATTTAGCAGAGGACTAAGTTAAAGCAGCTGAGACTGGAGGGTTGATTTTGAGTGATGAGCTAGAAGAGTCAATACCCAAGAAAGAAGAGTGTTCAAAACTGATCAGAGAGCCGGGGGATGGTGTAAAATGGACAACCCACATTTACTAAACCCATCTACTACTGCTGGTTTTTGTGTGGGTGGCCATAATAGGCATGTTACAGGTCCTTTACTTGGCTGATGCCATCTTTTCAACCCTAGATCACTCTCGAGCTAATCTGTAAAACTATTTTCCATGCAAAATTTTTCTGAGAAGTATGAATAATATATGTTCTAATGATATTTAAAAAGTATTACCTGGGGTAGTTCATTAACAGTTCTTTCAGGTAACATCTCTTCCCATAGCAAATCATTTGCTTGATTAGAATCTGAAAGCTGAAGTTAAAAGTCATCCTCTTAGAACTTAAATGATGCTAGTTTGCTTTATTATTTTTGGATTTGTAAGACAGGGGTCTTGCTACTGCTTGCCTTGAACTCACTATGTAGCCCAGCCTGGCCTCGACCTCCGGGCAATCCTGCCTCAGCCTCCCTGGCAGACAGGTTTATCAGTATATATGAAGTGCGCCCGAATTCATACACACCCAAATCAGTCTACCAGTGTTTCATTTTTGGGACTGAACTTTAATATCAAAATTAAAAGGAAAAAGGGCTCAGGTTTTGCGCATTAACAACTGATACCAAAAGATCCAAAAGGCCAGCAAATTCTGACCCAACTCATCTTAATTATTCCTCCATCCCCACAGCCTCCCATCCTCTCCCATTGGAGCGGCCAGGCAGGGTGGGCGGTCCTAAGGATTTCCCCAGCTCTTTAGAGGGCCAAGGGACACCTCGCAGCAGCACAGCTCCCTCCACTTTTCGGGAGCAGCCTTCCCCCCGGCTAGGAAACCCCTGGCGCACATTTCCCGGCCTCCACCGTTAAGAACTTTCCCACCGGGTCTTCACGACGGACAGGCGCCCCGGGCGGCTGCGGCGCGAAGGACTCACCGGGGCCGGCACCTCCCGCTGGCCGCGGGGCTGTGTGATGGGGTGCTCGGCGGCGGGCCGCGGCCAGTTGTCCAGGCGGGCGAAAGGGTTCCTGCGGGCCGCGGGCGCGCTGCCGCCTCTGCCCGCCGCGACCGGGAAGGGGCGGAGGGGCAGCCCGGCTGCGAGGGCGGCGCGGCGCGGGGCCGGCTCTGAGGACGGGGAGGCAGCAGCTCCGTGGCTCCGGGCCCTTTTCCTTCGGAGCCTCAGTATCTCGGGAGGCCTTTTGAAGCTGGGCGAGTAGCCGGGCACCGAGAGGGCCATGACGAGCAGCAGTAGGCGCCTCCAACCCCGCGCTTCCCGCGCGCGCTGGCCCCGTCCCCCACGCGGCGTCACACTTAGGGCTGACGGGAGGCCGCCGCGAAGCCCCGCCCCAAGTGGCTCCGCCTCTGCGGAGCGTGCGCAATGGCCAGCCCACGAGGTCACGCCCCGGCCACTCTTCTCGAAGGCAGCCCCTAGCCCGACTGCTGGGTAGTCGGCCGGCCGGGCTCTGGTCGCGAGGTGCAGCGACGCTGGGAAGCATGCGGTCCAGCACCAGTGGACACTGTCTTGTTGGTCACCGAAATAGGTGAACGCTCGTTAAGTCCGCAACAGGGATGTGATCAGACCCCGGTATGGCGCCTGGATGAAAAGCAAACGTCACACTTAGGTGATGGGCTGCCGATTCGGTAACTTTCAGAAAGCAGAGGCGACTGGAGAGTTGAGGGGCGGAGAGGCTGCCCCAGCCTGGTCCCCCAAAGGGAACTCAGGAAATCAGTGCACTCCAGACGCAGTCACCTAACAACCCTGCCTTCCCCTTTCCCAAGGCTTGGCCAGCCTACACCCTATGCAAACGCTCGAGGCCGTCACAGGCAGTTACCGGGATCCGCTTGTTTGATCCTGGAGAAATTTAGAGTGAATGAGTATTTGAAAACAAAAGTTAAGTGCCTATGGGCTAGATCCTTTGAGACCTGAAAATATATCCAAATGCTTAAATTATGACTGCACAGTCTTGTTAAGGAAGATGTTAAGAATGGGTTCATAAAAGATTAGTAAAATTACTCTGACAGTATATTTACAGCAAAGGCCTGTAATAGATTTATCAATAGATAGTGTGGGTTTTGCTGAAAGCAGCAGTTTTCTTCATGGAAAGAATTTTGTAACGGAGGCACAATGAACAGAAACAGTAACTAAAAAGGCTTTCTGAATATTCCCTTCAGATGTTGCGGAATTATCTCGATCACTTGCATAATTACGCAAAAACTTTCCAAATACATCAAATAACTGAGCATCTTGTCTTAACAAGGAAACATGCTTAAAAACGGGACAACTTGCTTTTTTTTCTTCCTTGATTTTTTTCTCAATTTTCCAGCTTTCAGTACTGGTCTTCCAACTGAGGTCTAAGAAATAAGAAAATTAAAATAGAACAACTTGCTTTTTTCTTCCTTGATTTTTCTGAACAACTTCCATGGAAACTTTTGCTTCATACAGTGGGATGGGTTCATCCAACTGAGGTCTGAGGACGAAAAATCATTAGAAATGTCAGTGTAGTTACAGATGAACACAACACATAGGATGGCAGCTCACAGTTGCTGTAGCAGTTGTATAACCAAACAATTCAAACAAACTGGTCCGTTAGTGTTTCTACAGTTGAAAGCTGTTAAATTTTCAAGGAAAAAAATACCTACAAAATCCCCTCCCTCCTGTATGAGTGATAAACACACCTAATTTAAACAAAGAAATATTTTTCCTTCTTTTCAAGCTATGGATTATTTCAAGTTGTTTTGGGAGGGATGATGACGAAGAGCAAAGGCTGAGGTGAAGAACAGAACAGAAGGAAAACTCCCAGCCACTTCTTAGTATTTACTGGCACACTCTAGATAGACTTTGAGAAATTAAAGAACATCTAACCCAGTTATGGCAAACCTTTTAGAGCTTTCAATGAAAATTTGCAATGAAAATGGTACGCACGAGTATTCAATGCCATGGTACACATGCTGTAGGTTTGCCACCACTGAACCTAAATAGTAAAATATGGAGGCAACACGTGTACTGTAAAAGTTGAAAAAAACCAAACAGGAAATGCCTACCGTATCTCCCAGAGAATACAAAGTAAACAAAAACAATGATTTGATTACTTTCACGTACCTAAAAACACCAGCTGATAACTTCTCCATCACGTCTTTTAAGATGCGTAGCTGGAAGGATTGTTAAGGTGGCAATACAAGAAGAGGATTAAATAAAACCATTCAATAAGCAAAAGATGTTAGGCAGGTCACTTTCTCACTCTCTCAAAGTTCTGCACTATTAGAAATCCTAAATGTGGGCCGGGGATTTAGCTCAGTGGTTCCAACGCCCGCCTTGAAAGCGCAAGGACCTGAGTTCGATCTCCAGTCCAAAAAAAAAAAAAAGAAATGCTAAACGTTACAGAAATTCTGTAAGTTGCCAAGTCTGAGACAGAGAAATGGTGTGAAACGGCTGGTGGAGTAACAGAACTAGGAACTAGGAACAAATGATGAGATCAGCAAGCCTAGTGCCCAAGTGATGATCGCTGTTACCCAGTGGATGGCAACGGCGTAGTGCACATGCATCTCTGCACTATGTACGGTATTTAGTACTTACATTAGGTACATATACATTTATGAATTAATCTGGTTGGTAGCATGCTCAAAATTTGCAGAAAAGTTAGTAATTGTGGATGTCACTAACAATCAAAATAATATAAAAATTAAGAAAAGTATTTTGGTAATTTAATTTCCAAAAGATCTAACTCCCTGTTTCCAATCTCTGCAAGCCTTTTCTATCTCTGTTAATGAAACTGCCATCTGGGCATGTGTGTGTGCAGAGGCTCCACGACTTATGATGAGATTATGTACCATTAAACCTATTGAAAACTGAAAATATTCTAAATCAAAAGTGCATCAAAGGCTGGGGGTGGTGGTGCACACCTATAATCCCAGCACTCGGAGGCTGAGGCAGGAGGAGAACCACTGTGAGTTTGAAGCAAGCCTGGGCTACATAGTGAGCTCAAGGCCAGCCTGAACTACTTAGGGAGACCCGTGTCTCAAAAAACAAAAAAACCATTAAAAAAAAAAAAAGTACTTTGAAGCCAGATGTGGTGGTGCAATCTAGGAGGCTGAGGCAGGGCTGCAAGTTCAAGGTTGGGCAACTTAGTGAGACCTTATTTCTAATTAAAATCAGGGCTGGGGATGTAGCTCAGTGTGAAGGCCCTGGGTTCAATCCCCCGTACCATACATACACATACATACGCACACACACGTGCACACACACACACAGAGAAATTAAATAAATACATAAGAGTGTGCAAGTGAGAGCACTGAGTAACCTGCTTACTAGCAAACCCACTCCTTTAGCAACACAATACCCTGCAAAGAACTGGTGGTTTCTCCTGATTCTGTGGCTGCTGGGATCTGCAGCTGTGCTTGCTGCCCAGCATTGCAAGGAAGCATCAAGTAGGGCACACTCTGCTGCTACACTAGGGTGTTTGCTAACTGAGGAAAAGATCAAAATTCAAAAGTATATTTTCTACTGAAAGCAGATTGCTTTGGTAACATCATAAATTTGAAGAATGGTAAGAACCATCATTAAAGTCTGGGATGCCTGTAATTGGTACGTATTTCTGATTCTGAAAAATGTAGTATTATTTCATATAAAAATGTCATGCTTCAATCTGGTCAAGAGATTTGTCAAATAGCTCAAAGATAAAGGTAGTATGAGAACATATGAAAAGCAGCCTAGATTGTAATAGGTAAGATTCAAAATATGCCAATTAATGTTATTTATAATAGCTATATAGTGCTCTCTACTGTTAGTATCGCTGTAATTGTTCTAGATAATTATGATGTTGTTGGACATTTAAGTTTTTAAAAATGAAGTTAAAAATTTAATAAGAAAATATTTCATCAAAATTCACTAGACTCATATACATGACACGAAGGGGCTTTGAAATCTCCTTAAAACATTACACACACAGTACATTAGCTGCATATTACTCTTTTATTTTCATTTATTTATTTATTTGCTTTTTGGAGACAGGGTCTCACTATGCAGTTCCGGCTGCCCTTGAACTCACTATGCAGCCCAGGCTGGCCTCAAGCTTGCAGTGATCCTCCTGCCTCAGCCTCCTGAGTGGTGGGATTACACACATGTGACACTAAGCCTGGCTACATATTACCATTTTAAAGCTTTGAAATAAGTGTCATTGCTTCTACAGGGGCAAGCCTTTGTACATATTACCTTTGTACATATAACTACACACATTTAAAAAGGTAAAGTATGATATTCAGTGGAGACAAATGTACTGTAAGGCTACCCCAAGCTCTTCACCCACCTATATACTCTATCATATAATGAAAACTTTTTTTATTTATTGAGAACTTATTTTTTATCCAATATGTTAAAACTTTTACGAAGTACAACTGTCTTTCAATGTAATCGTAGGAATTCTTGTTTTTTGTGTTTGTTTTTTTGATAGAGTCTGCTATGTAGTACAGGCTGGCCTTGAACTTGTTGCAATCCTCCCGCCTCAGCTTCCTGAGAGCTGGGACTACAGATGTGTACTACCTCACCTGGCTAAAAGGAATTCTTAAATTGATCCTGCTCTAGAGAGAATTTTGGACTTTTTGGAACTGCTTTCACATTCTCATAGGAAAAATTTATTTTCATTACTTTTACCAAACCTGCAGTTATTTCGCTTCATTCACTAGATCTGTCTTTGAATGACTTCTCTGTCTCTGTCTCTCTCTTTTTTTTTTGGTACAGGGGATCGAACTTGGGTCCTTGCGCTTGCGAGGCAGGCGGCGGAACCACTGAGCTAAATCCCCGGCCCCTGTCTCTCTTTCTTGTGGTGCTGGCAATGAACCCAGGACCTTTGCCCTGAGCTACATCCTCAGCTCTTTAAAAATTTTTTATTACATTGAGACAGGGTCTAACTTCTTAATTGTCCAGGCTGGGCTCAAACTTGTGATCTTCCTGCCTCAGCAGGGCTAACACGTACACACTACCATGCCTGCTGACTTCTTTTTAAAAATCAGACATAGAAAGCCAGGAGTGGTGGTACACTCCTGTAATCCCAGCACTCAGGAGGCTGAGGCAGGAGGATTCATGTGAGTTTGAGGACAGCCTGGGCTACACAGTGAGTTTCAAGGTTAGCCTGAACTGCACAGTGAGACCCTGTCTCAAAAAACTGAAAACCAAAACCAAACAAACCAAACAAACATTTAGACATAGGTAGACATGGGTGCATGCTGTAATCCCAGCTACTCGGGTAGCTGTGGTAGGAGGACTGCACATTTGAGGCCAGCCTGGGCAATTTAGCAGGACCCTATCTCAAAACACAAAACAAAAAAGGCTGGAGTGTAGATCA